TCATTTTCAAAATTTGAAAATTGTACACTGAATACCTAAATCACAGACTGATTACATATGTGAAGAATGACAGCACTAGCCTTTATCTTTCAAAAGTTATGGTCAAGGTAAAAGTTTTCTTTCATAAGTATTGAAATCTCCAAGGTAAAGGTCAAAAGGTCAAGGTAATATGGTATCCAATGAAATGTCTTGCCACAAAAAATACACATGTGAAGTATGGAAGCCCTAGCCCTAACCCGTTAAAAAGGTTTACATTTCAAAAAGTAGGTCAAACTCCAAGCTCAAATGTATCTTACTGTACAAAATATATAACAATCAGAGCCCTGCTTACCTGCAAGATTTATTTATTTGTCAAACATCTAATGCTTATACTTTACGTTCAGAATCTTATTTTGACCTTCGCCTACCAAAACACTGAACAAATTTGTTTTAAAATTCACTCCAATATTCTGGAGTTCATATTTGGAACAGTTTACCTTTGGATATAAGATGTGTACCAAGTCTGCCAGTCTTTAAACGAAATGTAGAAAAATATATCTTCATCAACAGAACTTGATTACCTCTGATAAATATCTTTTGCACATGTATATAGTGTTAAATCTTACTGATATGACATTATATAACTTTTTATGTAATCTTAATATATTAGTTTATTATCTCTATTTTTATTATGATTATCGTTATTATCATATGACTATTATCAAACATGTACATGTATTTTAATTTACTTGCTAAGTTGTTTATCTTTGCTAATTTGATGTAATATTGTTGTTGTAATTAGAAGGTCCTGAGGAAGAATAGTGTGTCACACTAATCAGGCCACCTTCTCTAAACAAAGTATTATTATTTTTATTAAAGGGTCATGGTTCTTGATATCAAATGAAAGGTCTTGTCATAAGAATTAAACATGTAAAGTATGAGAGCACTAGCCCTAACCTCTTTAAAAGTTTTGGTCAAGGGTTGCTTTTTAAAAGCAGGTTAAACTCAATGGTCAAGGTCAAAGGGTCAAAGTTCTTGGTATCCAATGAAGAGTCGCTTCACAAGAATTACATATGTGAAGTATAAGAGCACTAACCCTTAGCGTTCAAAAGTTATGGCCAAGGTTAAAGTTTTTTCCCGAGAAAATCTCCAAGGTCAAGGTCAAAATGTCAAAGTTATTGGTATTCAATGAAAGGTCTTGCCACAAAAAACACATATATGAAGTATAAAAGTCATGGTATCTACTATTTAAAAGATATGGCCAAAGTAAAAGTTTGGAATTATTGTGTAAAAGTGGGTCAAACTCCAAGGTCAAGGTCAAATGTTCAAATTTGGTGGTACCCAAAGGAAGGTCTTGTCACAAGAAATACACATGTAAAATATGAAAGTCAAAGCTCCATTAAATCAAAAGTTATGGGCAAGGTTAAAGTTTTTGCGGACAAACAGACAGACAGACGGACGAACACAACAAAAACTATATACCCCCGAAACTTCGTTTACGGGGGCATAAAAATAGAAATTAACAGTATATTACTCAATTTATAATCAATTGAAGTTTTCTGAACATTTGAAAAGGCCGAAATTATTTAATTGAAAATGTTAATTATATATATTTTCTCTGTGGAAGTAAACAACTGTGATTTCTATTCACTTTTACTGTGTTGTGTTTGAACACTTCTCCTGGGGTAAATTCCACGTACCACATAGTGAAAATTAAATATATAAGCTAAATATCAACAATTTTTGCTAGCGCTCTCGAGCGCTAGCAACTACGTTAGTCCAAATTCCTTGAATATGCATGCTCGGCTTCACGATCGTGCATTCTGGGAAAACTGTGAAAACTACCATAGATAGACTGTACGATAACAATTTCGTTGTATCATTAAATAACTTTTTTTCCCCGTTTTTCTGACGGAAAAGCCCGAGGCATTATCTGATTGTTCTAAACAAAGACGAGGGTTTTTTTGCTAGCGATATTAATTCTGGGAAAACTTCACACGGTTTAGCTGTCTGTGAAAACGACCATAGATAGACTGTATGATAACAATTTCGTTGTGTCGTTAAGTAACACTGGTCTTTTCTGTTTGATTCTGAAGTTTTTTTTTTTTATTTATACAAAATTTTATTCACATAAGTGAATGGGATTGGGCAGCAGGCAAAGCCTATTTTAGCCCTCTCCCTGAAGTTTGTTTACTTACTGTGTAACTTATATTTTAAAAGTAAACCACACAAGAAAAAACTTAGGTCATATAATGCCAAGATTCTAGACATCTAGCTTGCTAGTTATACCACCTTCCTGGATAATGCCGTCAACCTCATAAAAAATATCCCTTTTTTTCTTTTCAAAGTTTGCTGAATTGGCGATTGATACAATGCACTTTCACACTTATTTAATTTTAATTCTATAAAATACACTTCACAAAAATTTATAACTCTTAACTATCAGACTCCATACTCATTAAAAACGATAAAGACTTCAGCAAAATAAATTAGTTGACTATGAACCTTCCTTTCTGTGTTTAAAAAATTGCTACGGAGCTAGCTCACCTATCTTTTCTAAAAGATAAACTTGTATGCAATATATTTTTCCTCAATCTCTAAAAAACGTTTTGCACTGGTGTAGAGAGGGTCCTTAAGCAATTTTTTTTTCATTTATACATTTTATTCAGAAATAAAAGCAAATTGTTCGGAATGAAACACTTTTTTTTTTTACTTCTTTCACTTATAAACTGAAGTATTTTCAATATGTCAGTTGTGTGGGTGTAAATGCAAAGTTTATTAAATGGAATGGTTTTAATAATTTTTCATTTAAACCATGGTTTATTTTTTACGTGCTTGCATTGCCTTATCACGTGTAAAGCTGAAGACTCGAATATCATCCTACTTTAGATTTTGATTTATCGTGTGGGTGTTAATGTAAATCAGAATGTTATTTATCTATCATGACAATACTGCCCTTTCCTTATTATAAGTTGGTAATTTAGATTTCAGTAGAAATTCTGATTCTCAAAGTAAGGTTTTAATTCTTTGAATTTTGACACCCCTTCGAAACCTCTGCAACCCGTCCTGTTAACTTCCTCAAGATGGCACTGGAACCCCTCCTACATCATCCTGTTAACTCCCTTCGATCCTAGATGAACACAAACACAAACCCAGATGACATTTGCCGCCCTCTCGAGACCCCTCCCACATCATCCTGTTAAGTCCCCATAGATAAAAAAAACCCCACTCAGATGACATTTGCCGCCCTCTCGGGACCCCTCCCACATCATCCTGTAAACTCCTCTTGATGACCCACCCCCTTCACATCTTCAAAACAATGACCACAAGGTGCAGAGTCTGGATGAGTAACAGTGGTAGTTCACACATTGTCTTGATCATGGTAAGAAAGGTGCATGGACACAGATTTGAAGTTAATATTTTCTGTATAATATCACGACTTATATATTTCAATAGCATTTTACACCAAAAAATATTAAAAACTTTATTTCATCTTAAAGTTATTGAAACTTCGAATTTTTGTATGGATTTGATTGACACATCCTTGCACTCTCATAAATTCTACTTTTATTCTTAATACTTAGGAAAAGTGGCAATCTTGTTGTGTATGAATGAAAAATATTAAAACTTTAATCCAGAAAAATAATAATTATATAAAAAAAATGTTAGAAACCAAAACCGTCATTCCGCGCTTAGTGTTGAGTACAGAGTTTAACAAGTTGATCACACCCGTGAAACGTACAATGCACACAGTTTTTGTAAACAGGGCACGAGCTCTGTTATTGTTGATGTTTACAATTCACCGGTGCATTCAATTGTTAAAGTCTGTTCACCACAACTGCACGGACTGACAATATACTGTGTGTGTTTTGCTTTCGAACATTTCTACGCTGAATTTTCTGGATTATAATTTTGATATTTTTTTTTTATCCACAACAAGAATAAAAGTAAAATTTGTGAAAGTGCAACGATGTGTCAATCAAACCCGTCTAAAAATTTGAATTTGTAATAACTTTTAGATGAAATAATATTTTTAGCCGGGCTTATTGCTCAAAGAGCAATTGCCGGCTTATGTGATCCTGTTCAAGGCAGGATGTTAACCCAATAGTCGCCATTTTAAAGTTACGTGCAAAAAATATAGTTCTTACTCTCAACCGCTTTTGAGATAATACAAACGCTAAATAAAGCAACAAAAATAAAACGAAGTTTTATCTATATAAAATAAACATTTGCAGTAATGACTGAAAACTTCATAAGTCAAAGAACATAGTTCACTAGCGTAAGGATTTTTGATAATCAGTGTTACCGTAGTTCTCTACACATACGAGGTAAAGCAGGAGAGGGAACCAGACTGGCCTGTTTGTTTACATTGAGCTGCGGTACCAGATTAATTTTGATTCTGACAAAATCGGACCGTGGTATTAGGATTGAAAAACTCACTGTCAGTGTCTTATCATTTATATTGATAGTTTTAAAATATTTTTTTCATCAGAATATAAACGTGATTAATGTAAGAAATCCATTCTACTCCGTAAATGAGCCCGGCTCTCTGTACTTCTGAGTACTTTAATATATTTTTGTGTTAAATGCTATTAAGATATATAAGTCGTAATATTATACAGAAAATATTAACTTCAAATCTGTTTCCATGCACCTTCAAACTTACGGTCACCAGTAATATTAAAATTATAATGCGTTAATTTAAAGATCTTTAACAATGTTTTATATACAGTATAGGGAAACTTGAAAATATCTGCAGTTTTTATTAACCTTCTGCCTTAGATGAGAAAAATAAATACCATAGTAAAAACTAACTTTAAAGGCCTTACATACAATCTATATATAATATTTAAACATAAACGATCTTTTAATATTATCAGAATACATATTTAGTTCGCATGCACTGTATACATGCAGTTTTGCATCCAAAGATAATCCATCAAGTTACCTCGCTACTTATCGGCCAATGGTATTAACTTCCTTTACAGATCAAAAAGGAATATTGAAAGCCTTTCCTCACGTGTGAAAAACATATTTAGCGAATGAACTTCTGCTACCGGTATTCCGTTGAAAATAAATGCTTCGAAAAAGGAGAAGAGACGTTTATTTAACCTTGAACTAAATCAATGAACACCATAATAAAGATAGTAATTGGCACCAGACATGTTTAACCATTACAAAATTACTTTTATTAATAATGATTGCACCCTATTAAAAATATACCAACTCATTTTATTCACTTAAGAAGCATGGAAATATTTTCTGAACAAAGTCTATGAGCATTTTTCTGAATGATTTCCGTATTTGAGTATTAACAATACCATACACAATAGGATTTGAGGCGTTTCCAATGAAAAACGCGTATCTTAGGAGCAGATTTCCCGTGATCCCGAAAATATCCATCCAAAATGGCATCCAAGTAACCAGATAAATAACACTACACAGAAACAACATCTTTGCCGTTTTTCTATGCGCTGCACGTCTTAAATTTTCCCTCTCCAACAGAACACTAGTTGTATGCTTCATACGATGCCGAGGTTTGTCCGGGGGAGGGACATACTCTTGAACGCTCCGTTCTTGAATGTACAAGTCCGAGTCTTTTTCAGAAACCGAATTCGCCTCAGTTGGTTCTATCAGGGATTTGGAGTGCTCCATTTCTAGGTACTGCGTCTTTTCTGTCGTTACCTTTTCCCTGCTGCACGAAATTTCGCAAATATCCGAAACTATCTGTGAACGTGCATGTCTTCGTCGACGCAATTTTGATCGCTTCCATAGAACATAATAAACTATAATATACAACACCATTATAGTTCCAAAGGTCACAATGAAAGAAACTGCAAGAAATCCTTGATAAATAGACACGGATAGCTCTCCCATTTCAGAGTATGTAAAATGGCAAAAGTGTCCAGTACTTACGTGGAATTTGTCATACGAACAATGAATGTCCTGAATATCTTTATAAGAAACAACAGCAAAAGTTCCTACAGCGGGCGCAGCCATCACGCAGCTGATAACACCAATGCAAATGATACCCTTATTCACCAGGTCCACAGACATTTTGCGTGCTAGATGGCACACCGCTATATACCTCTCCACACTGATAGCCACCAGTGTGATATTGGAGGCCGAGATGACGAAGTGACGCAAAAATTCAAACAAGCGGCAGGCAACGTCTGAACTGACCATGTGTAACTCATAAATCATAGTGTATGGCATAATAAGGGTACATACCAATAGATCCAAGATGGCTAAAACTTTGATGAATGTGTTGGAGACTGCATGGTCCCGTTTGTGGAAATACACGATTAAAACTGGTACATTTCCCAAAATCCCAACAAACGAACACACCGTTAAATAAACTGCTAGTAGTATGTACTCCAGACTCCACGTCCCACTTGTCAGTAAAGTTCCAGGCACCGTAATGTTGTCCTCCGTTAATGTGTAATCACTACCGTTCCGTCCGGTCATTTCGACAGAAATGCAGTCGAATCCCATTTGTACAAGTGCGTGATTCAATAAATCAAGTGCAAATAAGAGTTAGCGTGGACTTCCGAATAACATTACTCAAATTATTGTCTAAGAAAATGCGTTCTTGTCCCACTGAGTTCCAGTAAAACTAATTTTTGGTTCGTTTGACTTCAAAGTGTCAACGATGTATCCAAGTGTTAAACTAATCTGCCGATATGGCTTTTAAATAAAATTAACACATTCAGACATAATAATTCTGCCCGTGAAATTGAGCTCTTCATGCCATATTAACAAAGATCAATTCATAACATAATTTCATGATCTCTGAATGCTAGAACGTGCTAGACAACTTTCTACCGTAGCTGTCAATCAATTGCAACCGTATGCACTTTTAAACTCCAGCATTCCAATTGGAGGGGAACGTTCCTATAGAAATGTTAAATGCATTAGATGCTTCGCACACATCCGATCTAAGGGACACTTTGTTTATCCTTGTGACGTGAATGCCATTAAAAGAACGCACACAAATCAATATCAAGCGCGCACCTGCGGTAGTGGTCCCTCAAATAGGAAGATAGGTATATCTCATTGTGTGGTCATGACAGATGCACTCAATTGTCATAGTAACACTATACTGTCCAATGACAAGCAGCGATGTATTTCCTGGAGATAAGTGTAAGCTGGAATTTAATTAGTAGTTCATACTTATTGGTGTCTTTTTATTTTATACATGCACTGCTTTCAAAAAGGAGAAAAATAAACCGGAAAGGAGAAAAATAAACCAAAAAAAAAAACCCTTCTTTCTTCATCACATCTTAGTATTTACTATAACTCTCTTCAATTTCCCTAATTGGCAAGGTTTTGCGTACATCAAACGAAATATTCCCTTATAATTTCAAAAAGTTCATATCAGTTCTACATAATTGCATCAGTTCTTGTTAAGTGGCCATAAGTTTGCCTATTAAACATTACATTAAGGAAAACTTATTTAAGGCTCTTTTAATCGACCAAGATTGATTTCATTGCCATTAAGCGTAGGAATAAATTGAAAGTAAACTGACTCATAAAGAAACATCATCCTTCTCGTTTTAATGAAGAATTTAAACAACAAGGCTTGGAAGGAAACGATGGGGGTAACCAGGATCACAAGAGGAACTGAACTATTTCAGTTCCGGCCCATTACAGTAAAGTATTCCCTCTGATATTTATTCTTCGGAATATTTGTTCCTGTATAACACAACTCGTAATTATTAATTATTGGACATAAATCGAATTTAGGGGAAAAAAACTAAATTGATTGCTGATATAGAATTAAAAAAAACAAGTATATACTGACAAAACGTCAGAAATACTCAAGCTGTAGAAAGTCAAATAATATCATAAAATGGTATAAGATGAGGGCTATTGAGTTCAATATTCCAGTTGAATAAATTACATGTACATGAAACGAAATTCATATATTGAATTTAATTAGAAGAAATATAAAGCATAATAACGTTACCGTTTCTTTAATGATTTTTTATGTAGATATTTAGTATACTTCAACTATTTACGTTTTTGTATTTTTTGCTTAATGACGTACATCATTTAATATATACATCAATCTAAATAGCTCGCTACAAGCCAGTATAGTTGCAAACCACGGTCAAAATGTATGACAGTCTCCTACTCCGGAGCGTGGCTTGAGACAGTGGGGTTCATCTAGCTGAGCGGCATGTCCAATAAATATTCCGTACGAATCCAAAAGAAGTTATGATATAGATTCCATTACCAAAGCTTCAGATAATACATGAATTCAACATTCATTTTGTTCTACTATTTTGCTGTCACTCAAAGTACACATCATTTGCAGGCCTGTGAAAAGCAATTTCAGTTGGGGGGTACAGCCATGTATTTTCTAGCCATGAGAATTTGTTAAGGATGGGGTAACCCGCGCCACCTTTCAGCTAGAGTCTGCAGTGGACTCGTCCAAGGATGCTTTGTCGGCGACTGTAAAAAGTTACCTGAGATTCCTCCGCAAAGGAAAGCGCGAAATCTCTGTATAGAATCTGTTGTGACTGCGGAGCTTCACTCATTGTTCATTCGCCATAGAATAGAATCCATTATTTAACACTTAATATCTTTCAATATACAGACGTTTTCAAGATAAGCTTCATTTTTGTTTCTATAAATATTTTTATCTACAAAATTAGTATATTTTTTTGTTTTAAAACTGAGTAAATCGATGACCTAGCATCGTTTTAGATAACTCAAGCCCCTCTAGGGCTTGAGTAAAAATTATTCGGAGTAGAGTTACATTATTATTAAAATTTAAGAGTCGGTGATTTTATGTCAATATGTGGTATGTGATCGACATATGCATTGGGTCAAAGAAAAACGTATTAATTTTGGACAGTTTGTTAAGGGCCAATTTATTGTTCTTCATATACCTCTAACATAAAGAAGATCAATGTAATCTACATGTATATACATGTTAGAGTGCACGTGTATACCAAAACTGTATAGGTTGGCTTGTGATAAATTTAGGCCCCATCCGTACCATCCTAGTCCTAGACGAATGAGTTAAAAAAATGAAAATTTTAAAATGAATGTTGGATCATTCACCTTCCCTCATAGATATACTGTTTCTCAGTCCTTCTTTCCCGGCGAACATCATCGGCTACTGACTTACGTTTTACAACTGTGTGTATGCAAAGCGTCTTAGCGATACCCACATGTTAAAATTCATTCCTTCTGCTTAATTGGGTGTTTATTGTATTCATTTTTCTAAATAAAAGATAACATTAAACAGAGATCTGATCTATAAAGAATCTATGCTCTGCCAACTTAAATGGTGTTATTTATTTATTTCTATTTTATTTCAACTCTCAAATTTATATCAAATAAGTATACAAAGTATATTCCATATATCTTCACTCAAGTACTTATAATAAATACCATTTACATGATCAAACCTACATAAAGACACACACATAAAAATATACACATTTAAACATGTGAAAGTTGTTTTAATATACTAGTAGAAGAAAAGAGAAAGAAACAGAAAAAGGAGAGATAGGGCATAGTTTTTTTTCCCGTTTACATTAGGGGGTTAATGATCAACATTCCTTTCCTGAAAAAATATATATTCATGTACGCATGTATAAATGAATTATTATATATTACATTTGCTCTGCCAGTTATTCTCATAACTCGGTACTATATTTACATTGTTTCAAAAGTAAATATTTCTCTGTATAGATTATTTACTTATTTTTTAGATTATAAACGACATATCCATACCAGTTGAATTAGCCGATGAGTATAAAATACCCGTTTTTTTTTTATTATTAAAGCCTTAAATTCTTCTATAATGTATTGTTTCCTCAAGCAAATGATACTTGAAAAACATATATACTGGACTCAATTGTTTTAGGACTTCTCTAAAGTAAATGTTTTATTAATGCTTTATGAAAAATATTTACAAAACAGAATCCTTGACAAAGAAACCATAGAAAAAACCACACAGTGGAAGAGGCCTATCTGCCTTAAGGATGTTGGTTTAACAGATTGGAGGAGCCTTTTCCGATTTAAAGTACACTGGACAACTCTAAGACGTGGACGTGTTGAGAGAGACAAAGAAATTCTTAGCATGGTGCAGAATTTTCAATTTGTGACACGTGTCCGAGTGACGCACCAGTTACATCCGGACGACACTACGACCTGTATATGGAACCTAAGTAGGAGCAAGACGACGACGATCTTCACGTTATTGTTCATTTTTATGTCATTAGGCTCTCCAGAATATTATTACCCAATCAAAATAATTGTTTTGCTGGAACCAAAGAAAAAATTCCAAATCATTTATAGGTTTTATTAATGCTTGGTGGTTCCCAGAGAGACCTTAAACATGTTATTGACATTTTATAGTTATGATGTCATGAACAATGCGATCTCTTTAGTACATGCTAGAGCACTTAAGTTTCTAATCACATTTATAAGCATGAAAAATAGCCTTTCCAACCATCCACCTTCAAAGTTTTTTTTTAAATAAAATACATCGCGTTCCCGATAGGCTGTTGAAAAATGATATGACCCATATTCTTAGTACCACTTGTTCGAATATTTCCTATCCCTTTCAGATAGTTAATGCTTTTTGTATGGCCAAATTAAGTTATTGATTTTCTTCCAATTTGTAACCATATCTAATGTATAAAAAACAAGAGATGTTCTATTCAAAGTGCTCATTGGATCTGTAATATTAATCGAGTGTGTAATAAAGTGCTAAAACTATTCAAGTGACAAATTGCATGTATTTGATACTCTAAGGTCTCGTTTATGCATTTTTAAAAAAAATTTTTGGACATAATAATTAATCAGGTTACAAACTTCACTCACTAAAATTTACGTCAGTAAAAAATAAAGTCCAACATTTACTTCTTTCTAAAAGTTTAGAGAATAAGGTAAATTACATAATTGAAACGAATGCGTTATAAAGGTATCAAATTATCATTATTTATTTACCGACCACGAAATTAACTCTATTGGAAACATTCATGGAACCAGATCCCACCTCTGATGTCTCTGCTCATATTTTGTATTGTTTAATGGACTTCTGAGCTCGAATACTGTTCATTATCTTCATATATTTCATTGTATCAATTTAAGTGAAAACGTCGTAACATTACGATTAATAATCAAAAACCAGATGTGTTTGTGGAACACTATGCCCTCGATGGTAACACAACTCTGGAGTGGGACGTAGACTGAAGTGGTATACACTTACCCTTGACAGAACAATAGTTATGGGCTAGGTTAAAGTTGACAAACAGGACAAAAACAATATACCTCCGGGATTTCTCGATCCAGAGGCATAAAGAGAGTAAAGGATTGGTTAGGGAACAAGGCTAGCTGTTGATTATATGTATGCACATTATTCTTTTTGTGAATGGCAAACTTCGTACTCATGATACTTATTTTTCTTTGAAAGCAAGTTGTATAATGCGTCTACGCCGTAACGACGGATATATAACCTTGTCTTCATAATCTGTTACGAAATACAACGTGGTTTCCCGCGGTCATGCGTGGTTAGGTTGTTTTATACACACTTCCTTCATCAATATTCATGAAAATGAAAAGACATTATTGTTTCATATCAGATTTTGCTTATTTCCTTTGTTATTACACATGTACATTGGTTTACATAAACATTAGCGATAAGTTGTCATACACAACATGTTTCTCATACCGTTTCAACATCCAAAGAAGCTGGATTATCAATCACTATAAAAGGGATTTCATATACAGATTTTATAGAATGCCCACACTTTAAATCTAAAGAAGGATGAATTTAAGAAGTTATGACCGAAAAAGTCTTAGAAAAATATAAATCTAGGAAAAGGGAATAAAACAGAGCCTTAGAAGTTCTAAGTATGTGATTACATGTAGGGGCGGATGAGAAAAAGCATCCCCTATTGACGGGTGTCCGCCTCTTTTAAGGACAAATGATTCAAACAAAAAATGGATGAATGGAGCGAAATATATTTTTTGGCCTAATTTTATTGCAAACGATACAAATAACAAATTTCTCGAATATAAAGAAATTGTAAACCTTCTGTGATGTTCAAAAGTCAGTCCTTCTGAAACCATCTTATTAATCTATACAAATATTTTTTTTACTTCATATCACATTTTTGTTTAATTTTGAATAAAAAAATTAAAAACTACGTGGTGAAACTTAT